ATCTGCTACTAATTTCTGTTTATGTTTTTGATGACGAATCCGCAACGGATCTCGAAACTTCAGGCGAACAAAAGTGTTGTCCCAGTGATGGAGCCGTCTTCTTCTTCTTCTTCTCAGTCAGAAAGAACGTCGATCAAAAACCGACAACCTGGCTTGACTGCAGTCTCTTGAGTTAGCATATATGATACTCAGTAGTACAACCGTACTTAAGTAATTCCTTCAAATCAAAAGCACATTTTAGAATTTTGGTTGAACTTTTATGAGATAGGGAATCTACTGCATAAAGGATTTTTACTTAACTTTCCTACCCCTTTTCCTTCATTAGGCGCACCCGTATATTAGACTGGCAGGTCATGTTTTATTTGCCTGTCAAGTTTCAACCCTCTGGGTCGATCACCAATTGGACAGGTTATCTTGTCAATGGCCGTAAGCATTTTAATAGAGGATCACGCCCTTTTAATGGCGTTGTTAAATTCTGCGTATTTCGTCGCCTGTGCCTTGTGCCACTACCACTTTGTTATTTTGTTTTTGGGATTTACTTGTGTGCTGCCTGAGGATTGTGAAGTTCGGGCCACCAGACCTTACACAGTTTGCCGGCTTGAACGTTGACCGCTCCCCCCCTTACCGACACATCACCCAACTATAATACCGACCTCTCCTAATTATGAAAAGCGATGTCAAACAATCGATTTGTACAGCAATTGACGTCCTAAAAAAAGAGCTAGTTTAGTTCTGGTTGATCGTCTTATCTGCCCTAACTATACTGTTTTCTAATCTCAGTGTCTTTCCGCTATTCAATGTTCATTGGTTAGGTAAACCTTATTTTCTCTATTGCTTGTCAATATCTCAGTAATTTTTAAACCATATCTAAATCCATTCACCTCTCCTGTACTTTCAAAATAAGGCGTGCCTGCTTATTGAGATTTATTTCGGTTCAAAGCACATTCTTCCCTGATAATGCTATGTGTAAATCAGATCAAGTGTTAAAGTTCTCGAGGGGAATGCACCTGCGGCCTAATCCTTTCTTCCCGATAATTTTTAAAATCAATTTCTGCTACTGTCTTACTTGAAAAAATAATTTGCATAGATAATTAAAATAAGTGAGTTGGACAGGGTTTATGAATGTGTTATATTTACTACTCATAGTTCGCACACCGCCCAAGTGGCGAGGTCGGTATTTTTAGTTCGTTGGGGCTAGGGGAAAGGGGAAGGGTGAGCAATGTTCATAGCTGGAACACGCGGAGGGGATACCACTCCTAAGCATAATAAGGAGATAATTGTCATAAGGAAGCGGAGGCGACATTTGGTCGTCGTCTGGCGTCGGCCACGGAAGAGAAAGAACCTGTATTCGCGTTTCTAACAACACAAGACTGGATTTTCTAGCTGTATAACCACAATTATAAGACACTTATAAACCCTTTCGAATTCTCATATTTCAATTATATATGCGAATGTATACGCCCTCAGTGAAAAAAAGGTGTTTATTTATTAATTCTATACAAGTATTCTTTAGGCGAGCTCAAATAACCTTACCAAATAGGGCATAAGTATCTTAAGGTATTACAGGCATATCAAGGGGGGGAATAGAGTACTCCATTGTGGATTTAATCCCTAGACTCATGATTTTTTGCCAATTGAACCATGTGATCGTGCCCTAACATATGCTGTCGGATCGAAGTTTTAAAAAATGCTGGTATTCCGCACGTCTATCACACCATAATGGTGAAGACCGCTTTATCGTAACATGCGGTATCAGGATAATATTCTTTTTTTTATTTTTCAGATGCTTAAGATCTATCTTCACGGAGGACTACCGAGGGACATGACAGTGATTGTACTTGCGGTTTCTTTTCTTTCTTTTCTGTTATCGATCACTTACACCCCAGTTCAAATCTGAAAAAAAACATGAATAAAAGTTATGTGGTAAGATTTTGCAGTCTGACAGAAGTCTGCACTCAAAATGTTGGTGTCCCACTGACCTGGAATCTCAAAGTAATCCGCTATGCTCGTTTTCCTTTAAAATACAGTAGATCTGATGAAATGTGAAGGTAAAAATTTGAGTGAGGGATTTGGCATATATTGGAGGTTGTTTATTTTGTTTATTAAGTTGACGTAAGTTGACATCGAGGCATATATTATGCCCCTCTGGTTTGCCTTTGGGAGCAAAAAACGGGGCCCAGATGTAACGAAGTATACGGGAAGCTGCTCCGGTATACATAGATAAGTTAGTTCTTTCATTTTTAGCAGAAAATTAATTCCTAATTTTAAGGGAAGTCAAGAAACTGGTCAACCTTTTCCATTTTGATCTCAACTTTATGTTCACAAAAGATAATGTGCACAGACATTCGACACCGAAGTATCAAATTAAAGCACTTTTATAAAGGATAACTTGTTACAGGAAGCTTTTTAATTAATCTTAGGTGTATTCATTTGCGACTTTCGTTGTGGACGTTCATTTTTGTCGGCAGTGAGTTGACATGTTTCGGTGATTCTAAAATCATGACCCAAACAGACAGCTGCATAAGAAGGAACGTTTAAAAACTCATTATTTAGTTAAATGCTTTTAAGCGATGTCATATTTTGAAGTTTTTGGTAAGGAGGTAGAAAAATATCGGCATGTAGGAACAAGAGAATAAAAACAATGAGCGTCGTAAAGTGTTAAGCAGAATTTCAAGAGCAGTCTCGTGTTCGACGCATTGGAACTCTCGAAATAATTACGATGGAATGTGACGGAATTAAACTTCTCTCAATATACACAAGTGATATGTTTACGATTGCAAATTTCAAATTTACTTAACTTTATTAGTCACAGACGGGAATGGCGACACCTGAGCTTATGTAATCACTTACCGCAGTGACTACCCAATCGGCGCAATCAAGTGGGAATTTGGTTGGCTTAGTCCAGCCTATCTTGAAGGATTTAGAAACAAAGAAACGACTGGAAGGCTTTGGGAAGTCATCTTTTATTACAAACTACAACTTTTTGGACTGTGCGATAACAACCCTACTTTATATTGCGCTTAATACATCAGCACATGTGTCCGAAAATTTCAAAAAACTATTATCTTCAAACGTAATTCTACTTGTGCTGTTTAATTCACCCAGATTTTTGCATGAATAGCCTATTTCTACATTTAAAAAATAAGTTTTCTTAGTAGCTCCCGTTTTTAATTTTTTCAAAGTTTTCTGTTATTCTGAAAAAAAAAATTCATCTTTAACAAATAATATTAATTTATAAACCACAATATGTTTTCTTTTTTACTAGAATGTTTACTTTTATACGTTAAGACTTTTGGGGGCGTAACTTGGCCTAATTTTACTTAGCAGGGATTTTCTTGTAAAAATCCTTGGATTTCATCAGTTTGGCAATCTACTCTGCATCCCATATGCGCCCAGCGCCTCCATTTTTATTTTATAGCCTTCCTCGGGGTTTCGGAAGTAAAACAAGCGAAGCATGTTACGCACATATTGGGAGTACTGTGTTACAAAATTGGAAAAACTTCTTTTCTATCTGCGGGTGCCACCTGGTGGCAAAAAGATTGCTTATTGAAAACAAATGGCATATTCAACACAACCATCTGATAACTCCGTGGAGTATCGATGTCCATCGACAGAGACAAGGGAATAAGTGTTGGCATCCTGTTCCCTGCACAATGAATAACAGATTTTTTAAATGTATTTTATGAAAAACATGCTCGAAAATTTTCTTCCTTGTACTCGTTTGGTAGCAATTTACGCCATCTTTAACTTTGATACTTAAAGAAAGTATATCTTTCAGTTTTCGGAAAATATATAATTATGAGATTATAACGACTGTGAGGTGTTCATTCATAATACGTCGTATTCGTCAATTTACTAATGCCGAGTATAATGTATGCAGCATAATCCGCAGCTATTGTAAAATTTTATGAGAACCTTGTGCCTTATTCCTCAAACCGCAAGCAAAAACGTACTTTCCCTTAAACAGGATGCACACAGCGCGCACTTAGTAAACCTCGAATTCAGGTGTAGCAGTCGATGG